AGTAACAAGTGCCTTACTAGTAGTAACAAAGAAGCTACTAGTAACAAAGAAGCTACTAGTAACAAAGAAGCTACTAGTAGAATTAAGTTTAAAGTAAATAGGTCTTGGACGGAACTCTCCCTCGCGACGTAACAAGAATGCTTGGAAATCCGCCTGCGATGGCCTCCAACCTAATAGCGATGATTCATTCTTTCTTTTGTCTCTTAAAGAAAGGGTTCTTCTGTAATTCATGTTGCTCTTCAGAGAAGGTAGGAGTAACAGGTGAGCAAGTCCAAGTGCCAACCCTGTGCCGGCCCTGCCTCCACGTAAAAAGGTATACTTTGAACGGCCTTTGCAGCATCGGATCGATCACTATCTTCGTTCTGACCCTTGGTCCTTGCAGTGATCTGCGGGATTGCAAACCAGTCGAAGAACACGTAGCCATTTACCACTTGCCTCAGCGAAAGAAGCAAGACATATATACATACACTAGGCGTATCCATTTGTCTCTCAAGGCGTCGAATCCCGATCCCGTCTTCTTTCGTGTGAAGGCCTCCCCTCCTTTTGGACGTGTCTAGATCACACTTTTCGGACTTTTCAGAGTCCGCTTCAAATTAATGCCATCCAGGACAATATGTTACTAGTAGCGTCCTTGCTCTTAGTAGCGATGCCCTTTGCTCCTAGTAGCTTCTTTGTTACTACTAGTAAGGCACTTGTTACTAGAAGCGATGCACTTGTTCCTAGTAGCGTTCAAATTAATGCCATCATCCAGGATGCTCTCTGGTTTTTGCATCCATCGAAACATCACGGGAGGCTTTCGACTGCATCTGGGAGACGAGGTCAGGCTCGACCTGTCACACCACAGGGTGATTTCATACGCCTTCAGCGAACTTGTCTGCTTCCGCCGGTCTTGGCTGTGCATTTCTAAGTTACAATTCGTGACACTCATCCGTTCTTACCATCCACTGCCTTCACAGATCCGTTGATAATCCCCCGAAGCATCTCTTGCAGGACGCAGAACTGAACCCCGGTGGCATCTGGATGAGCACGGCCCAGCCACTGGTGTGAAAGGAAAATGCTGAACATTCCTGCATCCGACAGGCCCCGACAGGCCCCAGGTCTTGATGTGACGGACGTAAGAATGCTCTTAGTCTGTTTTCTTCACGTCCTCTTCTTTTTGTCCTTCCTTTCTTCCTTGCCTTCCTGTCCTTTACTAGAGTTACTAGAGTAGTATCAAGAACACATTCTTTAACATAAGCGTCTTTTTCTGCACGCGCTTTGGCTAAAAAGGGCAGAAGGTCCCTCGGCGTGTCGGCATGTAGTCGTCGTTCGCGTTGGAACAAAAACTGTCAGAATGAAACGAAACGAAAGCCTTTCATCGATCAGAAAAATTGCTAATGGGTTGGAGGCCATTGCTACTAGGTTGCTGGCCATTGCTATTAGGTTATTAGGTTGGACCATCGCTAGGATGGAGGCCATCATATCGCACCTGGCTGCCAGGCATGGAGCAAGCCTTTCTCCTGGACCACATGATGCGGCTCGGGTGCACCCTCCATCTGCAAGATATCTGAGACCTCCAAAATCTGAAGGCAAAGTTCGTCTGTTTCAGACCCTTCGTTTATTCCTTCCTTTCTTTCTGAACAAAGCGGAAAGGCGGAAAGGTATATACGGTATATCTGACAAAATCTCGTGGGCCTTCACCAAATACATAGGATAAAGCTGCGAATGAACTGAATGCGCAACCGCACCCTCTTCACTCTCAGGGCTGCAAGCATTTCCCATCGCAGTAGGAAGACGTCGAAAATATGCGAAAATGTGACAGAAAAGAGGACAAACATATTAACAAAAACATGTTGTTCATGTGTTTCTATGTTTGCCACCGAGTTCGAGTTCTTCAGAACAAATGAATCTTCGGCCTCAGGTCTTGAAGTTAGAACTGCTCTAAGCGCTACCGACGCTTACACTGGTATCATATCAGACTTATTTTGTAATGTATAGTATAAATATTGCACGTATATGTTAGGTACATTTGATATTATACATCTGATGGAACCCAACTGAACCCATCCTCTGTGCTTGAAGCTGGCTGGCAATTCCCAAGAAAATCAAGCACGTGGAGTGGACTCTAGGAGCAAGGACGCTATTAGGGGCTCCTGGCCTTACTACTAGGAACAAGAAGCTACCAGGGGCTCCTGGCATCGCTACTAGGAGCAAGGACGCTACTAGGGGCTCCTGGCATCGTAGAATATCACTCCAGAGGTCGAAAGAATGGCCAAAGCATGCACCTTTGCTTTGATGAAGAGCCCAGCTTGTTGCTTCAGCTTCCTCAACACGTGCAGAGATTGGACATACCTCTTTGGGCACGAGAAACACAAAAGCATTTATTGGTCACTGAGCAGCTGAGGGTTGAGACTACTAGTAGCAAGAAGCTACTAGGCCATTACTACTAGTAGCTAGAAGCTACTAGTAGCTCCTGGCATTGCTGCTAGGTTCAAGTTCATATTTGAAACAAAACGTCCAACACCTGAGTGGCCCCGCTTCCTCTCCCGGTACTCCCGGCGCTTCTGGCGTTTGGCCTTGGCGTGCCAGACTCCGGGCAAAAAAGAAACGCTGCTTAAGATATCTCTTTACACGTTTTGGCACGTGGACTTGGACTTGTGCAAATCATTCTGCCTTCCTTCAAGCTCTGGAGCCTCAACTCTTTGAAAAAACTGCGCCTCTTTATCCGGATCAAGTTGAGGTTCACCAGCCACAGCCTCTGCAGACTGTCAAGCTCACAAGCTTGGCATCTTCGAACCCTTCTAGTTCAGCAAGCATCGTTGCATCGTTTCGTTTCCCATCTCAAATGCCAACTGCTATGTAGATATTGCTCAAAAAATCTCAACCTCTTTTGCTTTTCCATTCAACCTCTTTGTGTTTCTTTCCTATCTTCCTGTCACTACAACTATATAATCGACCTGCCCCTTGTTGCCCTCGAAATGGGCCTGCGCTTTTGCTTTGGCCACCTGCGCAGCTACCTGCCCAGCAGCCTTCTCAGCTGCCAGGTCAGAAGCGACCTGCTTCGCTCTGAAGCTTCACAATGGAAAACAGTGTGTTTTGGTGCCTTGATCCTAGTAGCGATGCCCTTTGCTCCTAGTAGCTTCTTGTTCCTAGTAGTGCCAGGAGCCACTAGTAGCTTCTTGTTACTAGTAGCGATGCACCTTGTTGCTGGTATGTTTGGGAAAATGAAAGCAAGATTGTCAGCTGTTCGTCTACGACAGTTCTTGGGTTAATCTGGCTCGAGTTCATTGACGCAGCTTGATGTAGCTTGAAATGAGTCCTTGCTTGCACCCCAGAATGCAAGAAGAAACCGGTGTGGGTGATATTCCTTGAGGAAACGTCGACTCCACCAGCATCGCAATCATCCTCATTATTCTCCCACCGTCAGCTACAGCATGGACTGGTCCCCAAACATTCACAAACATTTGAGGCTTCAAGAGGACAGCGTTTCTCTCAAATACACTCGATCTGAGATGCCCTTCATCCATGAACCACCACCTGAGCTGCTAATACCCTCCATTGCCAAACCGATTGGCCCAACATGTCCAGAATGTTGGTGCCTTCCTCTTGGGGTCAACAGGCCCAGAGCCGAGCGGTCCGCCTGCAGATTCGTCAAGCGTGCCACGTGTCCCCGAATTGAGGAGCCACTAGTAGATTCTTGTTACTAGTAGCGATGCCCTTTGCTCCTAGTAGCTTCTTGTTCCTAGTAGTGCCAGGAGCCCCTAGTAGCTACTTGTTCCTAGTAGCGATGCCCTTGGGCTTCACACTCGGGAGTTCAAGTCTTGGACTGGTTTTGCACAAGATCACCTCACGTAAAGCTCTTGCACTCGTTGCGAACAGGCCCCGCCTTTGGCGGCCTCCTCGAAAAGCTCTTGCAAAGCGGCATCCTGAGCCAAGTTCCAGTACAGCGGTCTTTGTGGTGAAACTGCTGGGTTGCCTCTGGAAAGCCCTGCGATGAAAGAACTTGTTGTACAATTGTTCCATTGCAGAGCCGGATGTAGAGCCGGATGTCGGGGATGTAGAGCCCTTTTATCCAGTCCTGCTCCTCTGGCGTCATGCCTTCACTCTCCACTGGCTCACTCAATGGCACCGCAGCCTGGAAACGACCAATGTCAACGGCTTTCGGCTTCGCTTCGAGGCCTTTGGGTCCCTTGAGTCTGAACTCTTTGGCTAAGAGCACCTTGTTACTGGTAGCGTCCTTGCTCCTAGTAGCGATGCCAGGAGCCCCTAGTAGCTTCTTGTTACTAGTAGCTTCTAGCTACTAATTCACGTTTGGCACGTTGAACGGGTCTGACCTCAACCTCTGGAAGCTCTTCAGACTTGAGCAAGGCCTGCGTTCGAGAGCCGAGAATCCAAGTTCTGTCAGTCACGCTCATGGCGAAAGCATGTTCGTTTCAGGTGGTTAAAGAAGAGGCTAGACATAGTTGCACGACTTCGAGTAAGGAGCGGGTAGTTGTGTCGACCCAAGGCCTTATAAATAGTGCAAAAAGGACTCGCAAACCAAAGAAAGAGAGAAAGGGGAAAAAAAAAAGGGGAAGAAATCCGGAAGGGTCGATAACCAAAAGGAAGTACAAATAGGTCTTTAATAAGTCATGATTTGTTTCTGGTTAAAGATCACATCCTTCTCTGTCAAGGTGCCCGACAATCACAGGCTGTTTCTGTTTCGGATCAAATAGGCCCGCCCCAACGCGACGACGAGCCTCGTAGACATCACTGGCTTTCCAGTCCTCATCCACTGTGTCGTACCTTCGATTTGTCTTTAAATATGCCGCTGGGTCACCCTTGGAAGCACTTCTCGATTCAACTCTGGAAGTTCCTTTCGATGAGAATATTGCCAGTCGCAAAGGGAAAGGAAGAAAGGAAGAAAGAACACAGTTCCCAAGGTTCAGTTTCCGTAGATCTAGGAACCAAATCAATCACGCGTCCACGCATTTACTAACTTCTTGAGCTGCAGCTTGCCCCTTCCGCCATACCTCCCTGGTATTGGCTGTCGGACACCACAGAAGAAGAAAAGAAAGAAAAGACACTTGTGTCTTATGTCATAACTTATGTCTACGACATTCTACGACCCAAACACGTTCTTTTGGCATGTCTATGAAGCTATTTCACACAGTTCCCCTGCATGTGAGCCGCTAAACCAGCTAGTATCATGGTATACGCCAGAACGCAAACACTTTTGGCAGGTGAATCAGAAAGGACCTGGGCCTACTTCAGCCATGCAGGTTCCGCTTGAGATCTTTGTACAAATGGGTTTCACCCAAGGACTAGGGTGGCTGCAAGCAACATATGCAAGCAGTTTTTTGCAGATTAGATTCATGCAACTGCCTGTTTCAAGAACTGGATGCGTCCACCGCAACAAATCAAACTTGCTCTAGAACTAAGACGCTCATTCGGACGATTTGCCCATAAGGTTCAACGGAAGACGGGCTTCAGCCTTCAAGAAGGAGGTGTTCAAATTCATCAAATCAACACAAACGCGACAGTCAAGTGCTTGTTCTTATCTTCATTTGTTTAAAAGAACTTGCGCATTGTGGCTTGGACAAACAGGAATAGAAAGAACATGTCCAAGCGCACTCGAGAATGGTTCGCACATTTTGCAGAGGCTGTTTAACTACTCCAAGGGCTGAGTGATTGAAAATATGTCAGCACAGATTTCATCAGCACATGCTTTTGGTCGACTTGGTTGGAGGCCATCGCTAGTAGGTTGGAGGCCATTGCTATTAGGGGGGGGGAGCGGGCCTTTTTTCAAGTAGCGTCCTTGCTCCTAGTAGCTTCTTGTTACTAGTAGTAAGGCACTTGTTACTAGTAGCGATGCACTTGTTCCTAGTAGCGTCCTTGCTCCTAGTAGCGATGCCCTTTGCTCCTAGTAGTAAGGCCAGGAGCCCCGAACGTAGCGTCCATGCATCTCCTTTTGGTCGACTTGATTCGGAATACGGCCCCACGAGGTCCTCATCCTTCCATGGATTCTTCGCTCATGGAGCCTTGGTGATTTAAGTGATGCAACTGTGAGCTGGGAACAGCAAGACTTAAAAGCCCACTCCCCCTACAAGCAATGGCCTCCAACCTACTAGCTGTCAACAAGGAGAATCAAGACGACAGTAGACTCAGTAAACTGTAGGTTTCGACAGTTTAACATGTCCATTCCTTCCAAAAAGTGTGGAAAACTGCGTCCCAAACAAAACTCTTCCTAGCTGAGCCAGGCACTGTCCTCGGCAGATGAAAATTCATCCTGGTGCGGCCCAAGGGCTTTCAAAAGCAGGCGTTCAAACAAAAATAGCCAACGAAGTGAAGTGGTCGCCTCCTGCTTGCTTCCAAAATGAAAAAGCGTTTGTTACGTCATCTATGGAGTGGAACCTCAAAAGCTAAGTTTCCCTAAAAATCTAGGAACCAAATCATTAGTGCAAGCGCTTCTTCAAGGAAGATCCCCCCAGCCGCCTTTAGGGCGGCGGGGGTCCTACGCCTAGGAGCGTCCTGTACCTAGCTACCTCTCCCTTACTCTGTTAAGTGGGCGCCTACTTAATTAAGTAGGGACGGGGGAGCGGGCTTAAAAGATAATGAAACCTCAAAATCAACCACTAGCTCAGCTGAGGCGTTAAGACGAGTTGTCTTTTCGCAAAAAACACATCCTTCAACAAGCAACGTTCCGAGTCCTCGTCTTCGAACTGCAACGGGAAATTCAAATCTCCAAAGACATTCTCCATAAAATGCACCTCATGGGCAGTATGTGCCTTTGGTGCTCCTAAAAATGTGGATTCACTTCATCCCAATGTAAAGGACCTTTGTGGTTTCACTTGAGAAGGATGTAAATCGGTCAATCCAAAACCTCTTGACCTAAATGGACCTGAAGACCTTCTAAGGTCTTTCAAATGTCAGGAACAGTTGAAAAACAAGGGAACAAAGAAGTATTCCTCTTTAGGACAGGCTGCTACAGGCCCATCGCCGTGTGTCCCCTCGTAGGGCTCCCACATCTGTCTCAGCCATGTGCCGGCGGGTCTCATTGGCACGGATGATCTCTCTGACCTAGCCATGGCGACATGAATGATTCAAGTGTAATCTAAAAGATTCAATGTCTCAGGATCGTAAAAAACTAAAACGGATGTTCATCAAGTCTAAACTTCCTATGTTTAAACCAATTTGTGCCTTCTTACTTTTCCAACTTTAAGGGTTCTGAGCCAGCGGACCCATGGGAAGCTTGCCAGGTCCAACCTGAGCATGTTCACTCACTGCCCCTAATTCATGCTAGTTTTGGCCTACACTGCCCTTTGCTTCTCGAACAGAAGACTTGTTTAATACCGTTTAACACTCCGCCACCCTTGAGGTGTTGAGATCTTTTTCGACCGAGTTTTGGTAAAGTGAGCGTCAACAAAAGCACATCAGCACCACGCGAGGGTTCCCGGACGGCATGGGTTCTTCTCGGCAACTGGGACGCCAAAGCTTCACCTGGGACGACTAAGCATGCATCAGCACCTTCAAAATCTACTAGCAATGGCCTCCAACCTACTAGCGATGGCCTCCAACCTGCTAGCAATGGCCTCCAACCTACTAGACCTACTAGCAATGGCCTCCAACCTACAAGCAATGGCCTCCAACCTACTAGCGATGGCCTCCAACCTACTAGCAATGGCCTCCAACCTACT